TGTTTTTTGTAGTAAATGTGAAGAGGATGCATTTCTACGAGAGAGAGCTAAGCGAGTCCTCGGCCGAGCGTTAGTTGCTTAAATAAAAAGTAAATTAATCTATTCGATCGACAAATTAAATACAAAAATTTTGTTTTAGATCAAAGTCAAATGACAATGGATAAATCAAGTCAACATCTTAGAAATGTTGAACGTGAAGTAGATGAATTAGAAAAGAATTTTTGTGTTCGTTTATGTTGTTCATCAAAAACTAAAAAATCTAAATTAAAAAAATCTGAAGAATATCAATCCAATGAAAATATCATTCCGATTGAACAAAATCCTATCTATTCAAATCAACAATTTCAAAATTTAGATGAAAATTTACAACGTTTACAATATTTTAATACATTAATCGATAATGAAATTCAAGATCAATTACAAACATTAGTTTGCTTGATTTTTTTTCCTTCCGCGAAATAACCCAAATTTTCTATTTTAGAGTAATCTTAATAATCAAGTCAATGTTGATACAAATAAATTAACAAAAACTAATTATAAAAGCAAACGTTTATTTTAAGTGTTACTATTTTACCTATTCTATGTTATGTTTTAAATTAATATATGACGTTGATAAATTTATTTAACAAGTTATGATATGTTTGAAAAAAGTACCCATGGATCTACCCTCGCCTGCCATCAAATATTTACATAGATTACTAAAAATAGATGCATAATGATAGTTATGTGAAAGTTATTAGTTTTTACGGAGAAAAAAACGTCTCTGCTGAGTTAATTATAAATTACTTTCAGTCTATAGACTCTATTGTTTGTGCTGTATGTAATTATTAAGAAAATTGTTCTATTATTTCTTTTGCATTAACTCAAAAAATAGAATTATTTTAATTACTTGTATCATTTTTTGATTTTTATCTTTATTTTAATTAAAATGTATATAAAACAATAATAGAAGATAATGCGTATATTTTTTTTATGAGATAAATTATCGAAAAAAAAACAAGAATAACAAAAAGATTGATTAGGATATAATTGAAAAATAAAATATTCATTTTACTGAATGTCATATCGATTTATAATCAAGGAAAAAATCTCGATAGACATTTTTTTTAAAAGCATTGAATTTATTTAAACATTTCGTCATCTGAATCATCTGGATTTGTCATTAATGGAATGTTTTCATTGAATTTATATCTTGGAGCTGCAGTTGTTTGGGTATTGGTTGCTAGTGCAGGAATGTCTTGAACAGATGGACGAGCTGATTGAAATAATTCGTCATCATCATCTTCTTCTATAGAAAATGAAATAGAATAGTAATGAAAAGAAATAAGAAAGTATTTTACCATTATCACTTGAAGGTTTTTCTTCGGGTATTTCTATTTCTGGTGGTGATTCTTTATCATTTTGTTCAACTGTATCAGCACTACCATCACTATCATGTTCTTGTTCGACAGTTTTCAATGGTGAAGTTGCTTCATTATTCTCAATAGTAGAATCTAATGGTGACGTTGTTTCCGTGTCATTGACTAAAAATGTACATAGGAATAATTATATAGGATTTTTAATTTTTAATACAATATGAATAAGTAGTATAGGTTCTTTATCTATAACTGTCTAGAAAAGATTTCAATAGACATACTCTCCTATGATAATGAAGAATGTGTAAGAACATTTTCATATATCTCGCTCATTAAAAGAACAATGACTTTTTTTCGAAGCCTCTTAAATTCATCTCTTAATAACCTGATGAAGTTGTATCTTCTGATACTAAAACCATTTGACTTTGTTCAAGTGTTTCTTCCGATTGTGGTTTTTCTTCTTGTTGAAAATCATCAACCGTATCCCACCCATTTTTTTGACTATTTCCTGATGTTGTATCAGATTCTATTGATTGAATATTTTCATTTTCATTTATTGTTACTGATGTAATTTCTTCATTTAATGTAACTTGATCAACTGAATTACCATTTGATGGTTGATCATTTTTTTCAATATTATCTGTTGTTTGAACTTGATCATTTTCAACATCGGATTCAATATCATCGGATGATGGTTCATTATCGTTATCATTATCATCATTTGATATGACTTTTAATGTTGCTTTTTTAATGATTTCAAGTGAACGAGAAAGAAATTCTTCACCACTATATTGTTTTGTTGGACGAATACGAGTTTTTAAACGTTGAAAAATAATATTAATAGCACGTTTAACTTGTTCATTGATTAATTGTGGTTGTTCATCATTCATTTCAATGATTTTTTCTTTCATTAATACAAGTCGTTCTTGAAGTTTTTCAAACTAAATCAAAGAAATTTAAATAAAAATGAAGAATAAATTTTGTTCTATATTTACTCGTTCTTCGTAAGCTTCGATTTGTTGTTTTGATTCATTTAACTCTTCATTTGCTTGTGTTAACTAAATAAAAACAAGAAAATTCAAAAATAATTATTATATTTAACTAACTTTATTTTCATTTTCATCAAATAACGTTTTCAATTGTTCGAATTCTTTTCCTTTTAATGCTAATAAACGTTCATTTTGTGTTTGTTGTCGATCAAGTTTTTCTTGCCATTCTCGTTCTAAATCTTGTTCAATTCGACTTATCTATTTAAAACAAAATTTATTTTTAAATATCTTTTTAATGAATAAAATCAAATTAATAATAACTAACTTCTTGATTACTTGTTAAACTATCATTTGTTCGTTGTTTACGTAATTTCGCTCGTAATTCATCTAATTCGCTTTCATAGGTTGTTTTTTGTTCATCTACATCATCTTGCCATCGTTTACGTTCATTTTCATATTTTAATTTTCGTTCATTGTTTGCCTATTAAAATAAAAAATTTTGTTTTGGCATTTTGACAAAGAATAGAAGGAAGCATTTGAGTTGAAATTGTTTTAACTTACTAAGAAAACTTTAAAAAATATTCATATCTATGGCGTTTCCTTGTCTATATATATGCGCAAATTTATATCTGAAAGACTAGATACTCTTTAATCCAATTGAGTGACGTTCTGAGATTTCGATATATTTAATATTTAAAGCGTTTACAAAGGAAGAAGAAATTAGTATTACAAAGCTTATTATAGAAAGTTTCTTATATTGATACTAACTTGATTCTTTCTTGATAAGAAACAAATAGAATATTTTCTTAATCCGAAAAAATACTACTTATGACGAAAAGAATAAGACAAATGTTAGTGTAAGTTATTCCTGAATAGATCAATAATTCTAAAGTTACTATTAGTAAGATTAAATACAAGCGAAAGATAAATAAGTAATATCTTTTATCTATCAATTTACTAATAAAGATGTGCAATGGTTATAGAATTTCTTTTGATTTAATAATACTCATATAGTAATAAGTAGTTTTGTTTTCATAGCATTATTCCTAAACTATTTAAATAAAGCAATAATCATCAACATTACCCGCTAATCATTAATGCTTTCCTATTATTTCTAATAAATCATGTCATTGAAATGATTTCTATTTGTATTTACCTTTTCTAAATTTGCACAAGTGATTTTAAGTTCAGCTAATTCTTCTTCAAGTGTATTTAAATTTGTTTGTAATTGTTTTTTAGTCGATTTATCATTTTTTAATTGTTCTTCAAATGTATCAAATTTCATTTGCATTTCTGATCGTTGATTTTCCGATTTTTGTAAATCATCTTTATATTGTTCACATTTATGTAATAATGTACTTAAACGTGATTGATTTTCATTAATATCTTGTGTATACTGATTTA